AAGGTGCTAAGAGTGGGCTATCCACAAGAAAGGCATGCACATTTTATCTGTTTCGCAAACACTGAATTTGATGTTTAACTTATTGCCATATTACAAACTTATATATATAATATATATATTATATATATATAGTTTGCAGTTTAATTGTATATTTGTTTACTTAGAAGATACATTTTGGATCCATATTGTCTCAGGAAAAGGGGAGATTCTTATATTTATGGCTGTTTCATGTTTGGTATACCCACCTATCTGTCTGTCTTATATATCATCAAAGATCATAAGAATGCTGGAGGCAGAGAAAGGTGTTTTCTCAATTCGGTGAGCTAGAATAGTGATTTGAACATAAGACCTCACTAAACGTTGATTCTTAGGAATTTGCTTTAAAAAGACTTAGCCCATTTTGTGCTGCCAAACAGAATATAGTAGTTTCCAAGGACTTTGCTTTCTGTAGTTTCCATTATCTGCCATCAACTGTGGTCTAAGAATATTAAATGGAAAATTCCAGAAATAAACAACTCATAAGCTTTAAATTGTGCACCTTCTTGAGTAGGGTGATGAAATTTCGCAGCATCCCACCTGGAGTGTGAATTAGCCCCTTGTCCAGTGTATCCACACTGCAGAGGCCACCTGCCCCTTAATCATTTATGTGGCCTTACTTATAGGTCATAGTATCATCGTGCTTGTGTCCATCATATAATTTCCATTTTGTGTAATAATCACCCCAAAGCACAAAAGTATACACAGGAAACAGTGCAGCATTACACATGTTTGTGTATACTATCTGTGATTTCACACATGTTCTGGGGACCTTGGGTAAGGGTGACCAGTGTTGGACTGACTAATTGATAAGGAAAAGAAATTGGTCACCTCATGGTTCTAAAGATCTAGTTGAGCACTGATGGAGCAGTGTGGGATGGCATGGGACATGCTTTACAGTGTCCTTAGATGGTGGGAGGAAGGAGGAGGAGGGGGAGAGGAGACACAGGAGAGGCTGACCTTGCTCTTTATAATGAATTCGCATCTACCATGTAAGGAACCATATTAGAGGATACTAGTGTTAATTCCTTCAGACAGTGTCGTCATGGCCCAGTCACATCTAAATTTTACTTCCCAACATACTGCATTGGGAATTCCCAACATGTGCTTTTGGGACTCAAATCATAAACACCTAACTCGGGTATTACTTCTTTCCTGATTTCTTCTTCCTCCTTGGCAGGAGTTGACCCTCCTTTCCCTCACGCTTCCTTGTGGACTGCACTGTAAACCCCAGGGGACAGCAACCCAGTCAGTTTTGTACTTTAAAGCACATGATCCGTCTCTGCTGTAATTGTTTATTAGAATAACTTGTTGAGTTTGCATGATTACAAAATGTAGGGTAAATTTTATTATGCCAGTTTTTGCTCAGAAACTAAGAATAGGTTAAAAAAAAATTAAAAGATGTGTCCTGTAAATCTCTAGTCCTGGAAACATTTGGTTGGACTTCAAGAATATTCTTCACTGTTGGGACTCGAACATAGGTTTATTTTCAGTCTCGTGTCAGGACAGAGACTCGCTCCATTTTGCTCGTGGACCGGTGGCTTTTAACGCCTCTGTTGCCTTCTTGGAGACTGCACGCTTCTGGCCTCTCGGCTCTGCCTCTGTGCCTTTAATTTATGGTTGACACTAACCTGTCTCTTCTAACATTGGTTCTGGCTGCCAGATCAGGTAGCTGAAGGGACTGTGGTTGTCACCGGAATGACAGATTGTGGTAATGACATATCAATAAGGATTGTGTAATGCTAGAGAAGGCAGAAAACTCAGGTTTCTGAGCCTTTGCTAGCAGGAAAATTATTTTTTAAAACTCAAAGTATGAAATGGCTTGTTTCACAAAATATAAGCAATACTTGCGTAGAATTAACACTTTCCCTGTGTAAAGGGGCGTGATGCCGTATCCACTTGGAATGCCTGCTGAAGCTATTTTGACTCTGGACCATTGGGATGCAGTGGTGGTTTGTTCTAGAGGAAGATGCATCAAGGAAAAAATGTTATTTTATACCAAGTGCATTGGGCTCAGAGCCCCATGATTCCATTGAAATTTTAAGACAACCATTTGACCTTAGTATTTTTGTGTTGCCATTTTTATTTTGAGATCACCGTGGAGTCCCGTGTTGTTTTAAGAACTGATACAGACTTGCACGTCACTCCCTTCCTTCCAGTTAACTTCTTACACCAACCACAGCCAAGTGTGGCAGCCAGGGAATTGTCACTGAAACAACCTGCTGTGATTCGAATGTATTCCTCAAATTTCAGGTGCCGTGAGCTTACTTCCAGGGGTAACAGTATGGGGAAAGTGAGACCCTTAAGAGGAGGTCAGTCCAGTAGGGTTCATCCCTCGTGGATAGATAGTGTTCCTTGTGCAGGGGTGAGCTGGCTATGTACAAGCATTCTGTCACCTCTTGCTCTTTCGCTTTTCTGGATTCTACCATGGGATGGCATAGTGCAGATGGTCTCCTGAGGTGCCTCACCTTCATGTTGGGGCCCAAGTAAACTTGCGTTTCTTATTAATTATCCAGTCTGGGGCAGTCAGCTATGGCGATGTGAAACAGTCTCCACACTTTAGTAAACCTGCATTTCTTATTAGTTATCCAGTCTGGGGCAGTCAGCTATGGCGATGTGAAACACTCTTCACACTTCAGTCACAGCTTTCTGTTCACTTTTATGTGTGTGTTGGTTTAGTTTTACACGTACAACTTACCTTTTTTTTTTAAATTAAATTTATTCATTTATTTTATATCCTGACTGTAGTTTCCCCTCCCTCCTCTCCTCCCATTTCCTCCCCCCACCTCCCTTCTGCCCCCCACTCCACCCCCAATCCATTCCTCCTCTGTTTCTGTTCAGGGCAGGCCTCCCATGGGTATCAACAAAGCATGGCATAACAAGTTAAGGTAGGACTAAACTCCTCCCCCCATATTAAGACTGGGCGAGGCAACCCAGTGTGGGGAATAGATCCCCAAAAGCCTGCCAAAGCGTCAGAGACAGGCCCTGCTCCCGCTGCTCAGAGTCCCACAGGTAGACCAAGCTACACAACTGTCACACGTATGTAGAGGGCCTGCGTTAGTCCCGTACAGGCTCTCTAGCTGTTGGTCCAGAATCTGTGAGCTCCTATGAGTCCAGGTTAGTGGTTCTTGTGGGTTCCCTTGTGATGACTTGACCCCCTTGGCTCATTTAACATAAAGGACATAAGGGTCAGATAAATCACACAAAATGCTTTAAATGTAGAGACGGGGATCAAATATTGATCTATCTTGGTTTTTCAGCAATAATTAGTAGCAGATTTCACTGAGTTGTCTATGAAAACTATATTATATATTTACCACATGCCAGGGGCTTTTGGTGTATTGACTTATGTGACTTTCCTAGCAATTATACCATGTAAGTTAGATCAAAATTGGTTTACTTTCCTTAATTAACCCTGAAGTCATTTTACCAAGGAATAGCCATTGTTTTTTTTACAACTCCTGAAATCAGCAGGAAAAAAAATCCCTCTTTTTACATAATTTTACGTTTTAAATCTCTGACATGACCACTGACGCTGACAATTGTTGAGTGTGGGGATGTATCTCTTTGTGGGAGTTAGGAAGGGAGGGAGGGTGTGAGTACTGTATGATAGGTGGAGTTACGTTGAGATATTTTGAAGTCTTTGTTAATTGTAAAGAAGAGCTGGTTTAGGCAGAGTGCCAGGTTTTAAAGAGAATTAATGTAAAATATCACGAATACTTAAAATATAATTGGATTTCTTTCATAGTCTAATTCGGGGTTACTCTTATGACTATTTTTGGCTAAATACAGCCCCTGGGATGTTTGGATTCAATCAGATATCCATGGTTAGATATCTGAACTTACAGTGGTGCCCCGTGCATTTGCCTGTAAATTAGCACTGCTATGTGTTAGAAATATAATGGATGCACTAATCAAGAGTCCCTAATTTACTGTTCTTTGCTTGTTAAATGTCTTGTAAAGCTGTCCCTATGATGAACGGCAGCCCTTAAGCAGACCAGGGATAGCAGCTCCGTGTGTTGCTGCCTCCGGAGGTCTCAGTGTTTTTGTTGACAACAGACAGAAATAAAAGGAATTTTGTCCTTTTTACCTCATGTAATCTTGCTAGAAAATGCACCATGTGCTGGGATCTGATATCGACTCCTGCCAGGTCCCCTCCCTCCTGAGCCATGGGCGAGCACCACTGTAACAGTCCTTAGACTGGAATCTGGCCACTTCTGACTGCGATGGATGGGTCCGGTGGGGGGCTCCTGTGGAACATTGTGCTTCTGTCTGCCTCTAGCATCTCTGCCAGGAGTGTCACAGCAGCCTGCATCTGCCACCAGAGGGGAAGCAAATAAACTTTGTACACTGCAGATGTAAACTACATTCTGCACAGTCTTTTTGGGAAAAGCCATAGTCCACAGTGTTGGAACAGCCCGTGAATCACCATGTGGGGTTGATTTTGCCCTACATAGCAGAACTTTATGTGCATGTTAGATAATGCAAATATTCTGAAGCTTTATGTTACTAGGGATTCTTTGTAAACTACAAAGCCTTTTTTGAGACCACTATATCCATTTTCTCCTAAGGAAGTTTTTCCTCCTCATGACTCATTCCGCTCCATGGCTAATAAGAGGGGAATGCAGTAACGGCTAAGGAAAGGAATGCATGCCTTTTCTTTCTTCTTTTTCTTTTTTTGAGAACTGTACACATTTTCTGTCTTGTGTTATGTAAGCTTGCATGACTGTAAAATGTGGACAAGTGTGAAAGGAAAAAATAAGCTATCCTGCTAATATATACTTCTTTGGAATTTAAAAATCAAAACACTTCCTCTGCTTCTTGAGAGAACTGTTTTGCTTGATGGCCCAGAATACAAATCCAGTAAAAATGACATGTTCCAGCCGTCACTTACACATACACCTTCAGTGAAATTAATGAGATCACCCTAAGATTATACTTTGTGTTTTATTTTCATTTTATAGGTCTGTATGAGCTGTTGGCTGCTCTGCCCGCCCAGCTGCAGCCACATGTGGATAGCCAGGAGGACCTGACCTTCCTCTGGGACATGTTTGGTGAAAAGAGCCTGCATTCACTGGTCAAGGTAACCCACACTGATGTCAAGTTCTCTCTGTGAAAAACATATGGAAAAATATTCGGAGCGCCATCTAGTAAACCAGAAATGAAATTGTTACTGTCTGAAAACAAAACAGCCTTGTTCTATTGCACGGCCGGGCGTGGAAGTTGTTAAAGATCTTACCAAAAATACATAGATGACTTCACGGAAGGGTACGATGTGGCTGCGCATGCTAATGCGGCGGCGTGCGGCTGCCCTTGTTTAGACAAAGGACAGAATAGTGGCAGGAAGGCTGAGACTCCATCATGGTTGACATTCGTGAGCTGGAATTTCACTTAAATAAATAAATGTTCACAGCAGAAATTAGAAGGAATATGTGTTCTGAGGTCAGAAACGGCAGCAGTCCAGAAGCCACATTAATTTAAAATAATTTCCTTTAACAAAGTCAACTGAAATTCTAGTAAGCTGTTTCTTTTATTGGCCTGACTCCACTGAAATGGTATTTTGTAGATAAATACAGTGGAGCTAAATACGAATAAAAACAGTTTTTTGGAGACCGTTTTTAGGGAAAGCATCCCGCCACGAGAACTGTCAGCCACCGGGAACCGGATCCCGTCTTACAGAAACACTGGGAGTGACCAGTACTCTTAAAATAGTAAAATGAGAACAAGAAACTCACTGGAAAACACACCGCTCCGGCTTCTGGAAACACAGACTGCGTTTTCTCTTATTTAACTCAAGCTGAAAGAATTGCCGAGTCTTTCTTGTGTCTGTAGGAGGTAGAAGCCCATGTCTCTGTGAAATCTGGACCTTCATCAGGCCAACTTTGTTATGGTTGTCTGTCATGAGGGGAGGCTTTTAACTGATATATAGTATTTGAAAATGGGCCACTTCTGAATTGCCACTGTTTACAGAACAGAAATGGTCTATGTGTTTCTTTTCCTGAAATTTATCTGTTTTGAGTAGCAACAATACTAAAGAACCTAAAATCAGTATGTGGTGCCCCCCGGCAGCACATTTTAGAGCCTAGAGATAGTCATTCATTTATTTTTTCATAATAGTGCAATTGCCAAGGTATCTTTATGCTTCAATTCATTTTAGGCAGCTTACTTAATTCTTTGGGGTGAGTGAGAAATGATCTTGGGATTACAATTGAGGAGTTCATGCCCTTGGTATAGTAATAATAAAAAATGCTTCTGTGTTGAATGTAGGGAAGTTAAGTAGCTACAGACGTATGCATACTGATTTTAGCATTTGCCAAAAGGAATAACATGTATTTGAATTGCCATCATCCCTGAGTCATTAAGTAAACATTCCCCCAAATAATAGATGCATGTTTATTTGCATTTATTTATAACATAGCTATAATTTCATTATCTAAAGTGGAAGTCAGAATGTATTTCAGCAAATGGACAATGTCTGTAAACTGTTATCATCTCAGATCTTGGGTAGCTATGTAAGTCAGGCCGATTTATTAAGTATTGAGGAAAAGGTTATCAGAGCACATAAAAGGTCAAAGAACTCCAGAGCTGGTGGTTACTGCTGTTAAAAGGATGAAACTAATGTATAAAGCAAATTCCTAGTCACATTGGACAGTGAGCCTTAAGTATAGGCTGTTTTCCAGAATATCTGTCGGTAGCCAGTGGAAAGGGTAGGGAGCATCCGAGAGGGTTCCCTAAAAACAATGAAATCAACGGCCTCTGGATAGCACAGTTGACATGCGTACTGTTTCAAATGTTTTGAGTAATTGCTCTAAAATGCATTTTTTCAAATGAGTCCTATTTAATGCTGCTAGCGTGGTATCCGAGATTCCTCCATCCTCCCCTCTGATCAGATGCAGACCTCAAGCGTGTCCTCTGCCTGACCCAGTCTATTAGTTTTAAATATGTAAAGTCTAAAGTGCCTCCAGGAGGCAAGCTCGTGGGCTCTTAGCTGAAAACAGCTGGAACAAACCTCTTAGCTGTATTCCAAATGCCTCTATTTAGGGCTGGAGGACAGAAACCTTTAGCTTTTGTACGTAAATCTTGCTAGAGCCAAAGGAATTTGTTTGAAAAGATTTGTTATAGAGTGAACCAAAATGTGCTTTGGTTTTATGCTCTTGCCTGAAGTTAAAGCCGTTAGTGTGTGATTTAGAACTGGAGAATGCAGAATTTGATTTTCATTCTAGCACAGAATTTTCATGGTCCTTGCAGTGTGTGTGTGTGTGTGTGTGTGTGTGTGTGTGTGTGTGTGTGTGTGTGTGTGTGTGTGTGTGTGTGTGTATGTGTGGTGTAAATTACCACACAGTTTTAAAGGTTTAAAATACTTGTAACCTTGGGAATCTAATGTAGAATATACTTAAGAAGAGACTCACATTACAGTCTAAGTGAGAGGCACCGCACTCTCCTTTGGATATTGAGATTGTTACTGGAAAGCAAGGTCAATCCTAGCAAGCTTGTCCAACTTTTTGACAATGCAACCCAGTATTACCACCTACAAAGTTGATGCCCCAATGCAGCATAGTTGAGTTACAAAAATAAATGAGTAAATAAATCTCAAAGAAGTCTCAGTATTTTAAATGAGTTCATGATTTTGCACTGGGACGCATTCGTAGTTAGATGCGCCTGCAAGGTGTCAGCCGAGGGTGATTTTTGAAAAAAAAGCTTTAGGTGGAAAAGCTGAGTAATAAAAAGCTCAAGTTGGCATTCTGTCAGCCTCCGGAGGAAGACAGTACTGAGAAGGTCTGAGAACTCTCACATCTGCGTAGTGGAGACCTGCACATGTGGAGGACTGGGAAGCGTCATTCACTCAGTCCAGCCAGCACGAGGGAACACACCGGGGACGCATCTTCTGCTAATGCACAGGGTCCACGGAGCATATGTTTTATTCCCTAACTTCATTTCTAGATTTATCTTCTGTTCTTACCACTTTAAAAAAAAAAGAATGAGATCTCATTACTTAATTTAAATTTTCTTTAGTTGTGTGTATATTTATAATCTGATTTAAATTCATTTTAGAACAAGATAGGGCATAACAACTTACTTAAATATTGGATTGCTTTTAAATTAGGTTGTATTTGTGTCTCCTCAAGAAACTTCTGTTTTTAACTCAAAATTGTGTTGGCTTTCTAGGATGAGACTATCCAATCGTTATGACTTTTAGATTCTTGCACATGTTCCTCTGCCCTTTCAGTAGTTATGTGTGTCAGGGGTGGATATGAAGAAAATAAGAGAAGTTAATGGAGCTGTATACTATTTTAGATTCGAGTATTTCAATAAACACAAATTTGTATTTTAAGGGAGACTTTCCTTGCACAATAGAATTACTGTGTGTTTTTCTGGGATTTCAATGTTTAAAACAACAATACTGCGAACTTCAGTCAGTAGAGTGCTCTGAGGATCATGAGGATCTGAATTTGATTCCACAGAACCCATGTTAAAGCAAACAGACCCGGAAGCCTGTATTTATAATGCCAGAACTAGGAAGGCAGAGCCAGGCAGGTCCCAGAGATTCCCTGGTGCCAGCCCAGCCTGCTTGATGAATTCTATGTCAGTAGAGAGACTGTGTCTAAAAACCAAAGTGGCAGATACCTGAGGAATGACACCCATTCTCCTCTGGCCTTCATGAGTATACACACCCTAACTCCGCCCTTTCCCTCTATTATCCTCAGTTAGGATAAAAACAATTAGACCTGCATATCACTTGTGTGCCCAGTCCCAGTTTGAATAATAGTTACTTCTGAATAATTAATACTATGTAATTATTGTATTTCTCTATTTGTTCAATACTTACTATGTGCTGAACATTTTCTGGACTATCTGGTGAGAATTTCCAAGATGGAAGGCACCATCTTTTGTTTAATCTCCAGTTTTTCATGGAGTTATACACAGATACATACATGTCAGTTACAGTGTCCTGTGGTAGATCATATGTGTAACTCAATATTAGTTCCAGTATGGGTTCCTGGAGGATTTGGCTTCCTCAGCTAGAGCCTGCCTGCTGAGCAGGAGTTTCTTAGGTAAGTATTTACTGGGGTAGTTAGAAGGAGACAGAAGGAGTAGTGCTCAGCACAAGAGGCAATAGTGAGCATTTTGCTTTAGAATGGGGCATGCTTAGCTGGTGTATGACTTACGGGAGGTTGTGAACAAAGCCCAAGAAGGCAAAGATGTTCTCATGAGTGGCTTTGTAAGCCCAAGACAGTGGGAGCCATTTCCTTGAAAGGGTGAAAGCAGGGGAGTTGAAAAAAAAAACCAAAACCCGAAAACCCCTTGTTTTCTTTCTTTTTGTTTAAGCTCTTATTTTTATTTTATTTATTTTTTTAAGGGAGAGATGTTTTATTTTAGCTCATAGTCTAAGGGTTATTTTTTATTTTTAATTATGTGTGTGAGTGCATATGTATGTGTGGCTATGTGCACATGAGTGCAGTTACTTGTGGAGGTCAGAAGAGGGCATTAGACCCCCAGCAGCTGGAGTGGTAGATGGCTGTGAGCCATTAAATATGGGGCACTAGGAACTGAACTCAGGTCCTTGGAAAGAGCAGTACATGCCCTTGACTACTGGGACAGCCCTCCGAATGGTTTTCTTCTGGAAGTAAGTTGGTGTACTGTGGAGGCTAGATGGGGCTTGGGACTTCCAAGTCGAGGATGGCGAAAGTAGAGCATTGGTTTCCAGTTTGAGGGGCATACTGGCAGTGCTGTTCCCTGTCATAGTGAGACTCCTCCTGCTCTGTGGTCTTCCCACCAGGGCAGAGCTGTTGGGAGTTGGAAGGAGACTCAGGCGACATCTCTGTGAGCTCTCTACAAGCATATCAGTTCATACCTTTTGACTATCTCCCCAGAGGAAATGAGAAGTGATTTTAGGTGTTTTAAATGTTTGCTCAGTATTTAGGGAATAATCACATAATTAGACTCATGCATCTAGAGTTGAGGATAATTATGTTGAAGGTTGTAGATAATAGATTTAGGTATAACATTGCCAGATAAAGTACAGGAATCACTTAAATTATGATGCGGCTGTTAATGACCAGTTGCATGTATGACTGGTCTCAT